ACAGCAGGATCGGCTGTTTGCCTCTTCTCCGCATCATCAAGCACAACCCGTATTTTGGGCAAAAGACTCTTCCAATTTTGCAAGTCATCACCAACTTGCTCCTGTTGATTCCACCATCCAAGCAACTTGGATCCCAAATACTCGCTCAACCACTCCAAGGAAGCAGAGAGAGCAGTGGCTCCAATAGCTTCCATAATGAGGAACAAGGTTCTGTAAAAATCAAGTAATACTATATATTTAAGCGCCCAATATCATAAATTCAGAAAAAAAAATACAAAACAAAAATAATAATAAGGCGAGAGAGCAGTGAACATGATTTTCAAAATCAAATCGGATCAGACTAACCGGTCTAACCAATAAGACTGGTAACGGTCGTAGAAGTGGTCAGGTTATGATTACAAAAGTAATTGAACCAATCAGAACCAGCCAAGATGGATGAACCAAGTGAACTAGGGTTGTTCACCTTTTTTAAAAAAAAATTTAATTTAAAAATTAATGAATAACACAAGACGACTAACAAACAAATATATTTTAATTATCGTCAATTCAATTTTTTATTTTTTAATCACTTTATTTCTTCTTCTTCTTCTTCTTTTTTTTCTATTTTTGGCTAGAACTTTATTCCTTTCTCAAACAGAACATTTAAAGGAGAAAGCAAGCATTATGCAATTTTACAACCTAACCTTTTTTTTTTTTCCTTAAAACTACTTTCCCTTTTTTTTTTTTTTGCAAAGAAATAATTAATTAAAGAGAGCAGAAGCGAAAATTTAGAGAGCAAGAGCTTCCGTATATGTACCTTGGATTTAGCTTTCCTTTTGAATTCTGAAAAGTAGTGGAGATGTGCGTGGTCCAAGAGAGAGATGAGTGCTAAGATGATGTATTCTGCAGCAGAATGTGAAGGAGAGGAGATCTGGTTGATGAAATGATAGCAGAGGAGAGGTGATTCCTTCAAAATATGGCTAAAGAGTGGATCAAGAGCTGAACAAAGCGTGGACAAAGGGGAGAGTTGGTGAAAATGAAATTGCAGATGGAGAAAGAGATGGATGGTAAGTTGTATGCTAGAACAGATTGAAGAGTGTATGAGAGAGAGCCAGAGACGTTTCTGAAATTTTAGTGAAAATGGGGAGAATGTTTGGTGAGGGTATAATCTTCTAATTTTTAAAATATAAAAATAAAAGCGAGAGAAAATCGTTGACGAGGAGAATGTTTGATGAGGGTATAATCTTCTAATAAAAAAAGGTTTAAGGACCATTTTAGTCCCTCAACTTTACACTTTGGTACCAAAATTGTCCCTTATCTTTAAAAAGTACCAAAATTATCCTCAAACTTTCATTTTTGTACCAAAATAGTCCTTCCGTCAGTTAAATTACAAGTGTCACGTTAATTTGCCAGCAAATCACTTAACTTTTTAAATGTTAATGACGTGTAAATCCAACCAAGAAAACTCCCATTTTTTTAATCAGTTAA